GACAAAACACCACAACAGTAAATACTCCTCTGTAACACATTCAAATTGCTCATGTTAGTTTTCTTTGGAACTGTTAGTCTCCTATCTACTATCGCCATCATTAGCACAAAGTCCTAAATTGTTGTGAGTGGTAAACCTGTGCGCCCAATCCATCTAGCTATGGCCTGCTCCGTGGTCTGTTGTTCCTTCGATTCAGTTTTGTACTTTGAAGAACTTAAGAAAGCTGTAGAGATGGCCTGCTGCTGGGCTGCACTAGTAGTATGAGCTTAATTTCCACTTGGCCCATGGTCATCTTTGTCATCAGACGTCTTCTGTATCTGTGAGGGTGAATAAAGGGGGAATCAAGTTGTGATTTCTTTCTTTCTTGTCCAATCTCCTCAGATCTCTCTCTCTGTCTCTCTCTCTCTCTCACACACACACACACACACAACATCTACTATAATAGTATACATTTGACTCAATTTGAGGACATTGAATATTTAAACTCATTAATTCAGCGAGACAATCGTCTAATCAATACAGTTCAGTGGTGGTTTCCTTTAGCTTCTATTTTATTCCAAGTTTAGCGGAATCACTGTGGTTTATCTGATAAAATAACCTTAGCGTGTATGCTTACCTTTGCATGTTTTTCTGGACGAGTCTTCTGTAAATGTCGCTTCAAGTTGGTGGTGTTTTTCCCAGCGATTTTTGCTGCACATGGTTTACAGGCGGTCTTGTTGTCCTCTGTTGGCTCTGCTGCTTCTGCACAGGTCAGCCTAGCCTCAGAAATTTGCTCTGATTCCCAACTTGTCACACAAAAAGAGTAGTTATGATTGGATCTCTTGTCCATTCGTTCCTCCCTAATATTTTCGTCAGCAATAAGTGACAGTTATATTTTATCACATTCTTCGTCATCATATCTGACTTTTTATTTAGTTTTTGTCAGTGAAAAAGGTTCGTTGATGAATATTTTTCGTCATAGTCTTCGTCAATGATATGAACACTGGAATGATGCTGCCATCAGCTCATCTGGCACAGAAAGCTATTGACAGCCTATTCCTAACTGCCATAAACCTACTGAACTCACCTTAACATGATAATCTCTCTGGCATGTAACAGTGATTATGGCAACGTACAATACACTGTTTACTGATGTGTGCAATATTTAATCTTGCTGCTGGACACCACTATCAGTCAAATCAGCTCTTATTATATATTCATTATTATGCTCTTATGTTAAATTACTGTTGTATTGGTAGTACTTGACATCTATTTATAGAGAATGGTAATGAACCTTTGGGTTGTCACAAAAGTAAATCTTGAATGTAAGCAGGGCCTCACAAGTTAAAAATACATACAGCTGGAGAGCCTAGACAAACTCAGACGCGGTTGTCATTCAGCTAATTTCCCTACATAACAAATATTACTTTAACATTACCCATCTCATGATCATCTCATGGCCATTACAACCCAGCTAAGTTATAGTAGTCTTGACCTACACGACAACCGCAACAACCGCTGTTTCCCCCTCAACTCCATCCCTCAGTCCAGGTGGAGCCACTTATTCTAGTGACACAGTCACTCTGTTACGGTAACTTTAATGTTACCAATCTAAATCTGACAATGCCTGTTTGGCAAGTTTACCGTTAACATTAATGTAACATAATGTCAGCTGAAAGACAACGTGGGCAATTAACGTTAACGTTACTTCACTACTTACCTTCTAACTGATGCCTTTTGTTCCAAAGTGTTTAAATTCAAACACTTCTCTAATACGTTTTGACTTCTCTGCATGATTCTTTATAAACTGCAGTTAGCAGACTCGTGTTTATTTTAGCATCATTTCCAAAGCTGAAGCTGGCTAATTAGCTAACTTAACAACCTAACTTTATGTACCCATACCTGCTAATTACTGTAAGACATAATTAAAATACTACAATTTCACTCACCAACAGGAGCACAGGCTAGTGAGGGTTCTTTTTCTCTGCAATAAATCGCACAGCCTTCCAATGTTCGTCCGGTATCTGCATGAAGAAACGTCCAAAAGGCTCAAACCAGCAGGGCTGCCGAGCTACGTGACTGACTGTATCAGCTGAGCTAATAGACGGCAGTCACCCGGCTAGCTGTGACAGTGACAGCAGCCACCTGTCAATCAAAGTGGCCACGCCCCTAATAATGCAGAATTTTAAGGTTTAATATCATTTGAATGGTTGAGTTGTAAAAAAATTCACCCCCCTCACAACTGTCACGAAGGGCAAAATTAGCGACAATAAAACCATCTTTTGTACCAGGCTGTAAACATGTTTTATTCTGCTGTAAAATTGGTTAGCTGCTTTATCCTCAGCACTGGTCCAACAATCATTGAATATTGTTTATTTCTGTTAACCATTTTTATAATTGCTTCTGTAATGTATATTGTCTGCTATGTAGCAGAAGGGAGTTACAAAGCTCAATTCCATTATATAACCTGTTATATTGTGACAATAAATGTACCTACCTACCAACCTAAACTATCCGACAAGGCTACACCAACTTAATGAGAATCATTACAGGGTAATTTATTGAAATAGTTGTCTGTTGCTAACTAACTTCACAAATGTATTGGCATGAGTCTTGTTGATCTGCATTGTAATATCTCTTGATGTATCTCACGGAGAAAACCTGTCCTGCAGGATGGAGGATGTTCAGTTGTACCTGTTATTTCCTCTCTGAGTCTGGTTCCTGAGATAAAGGCAGAGAGGACTGCAGATGCAAAGGAGCAGATCTGGTGGTGATAAACAGTCAAGTACAGTGTGTGTTCATGTGTGTGATTCATGGTTTAATATCCCTGTTTAGGTCAGTTTAGGTCCCCATGGGTAGAGACTGTTTAAAACAAAAATATAACACGGGATTCTTCATGTTGAACAGACGTTTCTCTTTAAATTAACCAAAGAAGACACCTTGATTGGTCTGAACGACAGAGATGAGGAGGGGACCTGGAAATGGATAGATGGAACTCCACTGACAGTGATGTAAGGATCCACTTTGGATGAATATAAACATTAACATATACAAACATAATTTTATATTACTAGAATGTATTTGTTTTGACAAGATGTGCATGCATTAATATTTAAATTTGTTTTTATTATAGATAACACAAAATTACTCAACGCAACTGTTTCTTCCTGCCAACCTTTTAATTTTTAGAAAATTGCAGCTTTTGTCACGTTTCAGAAGAGACTAAACAGGAGTAAACCCAAAAGCACAACTCAGACACAGTAGTACACGGCAAGTTCAGTTTATCGTAATCAGTTAGGCTAGGTCACAGTACCAGTTTAGTAGTTCGAGAGAAAGGCAAACAAATGTAGAATCTGATAGGCAGAAGATAGGTCTGAGAAACAAGCAAAACAGAGTCAAGACACAAGCAGTACAGAATAAACAAACTAACCATTGAACACTGGAATGCTAGGCAGAACCATAGATAGTCTTGGAAGGAACTAGTTTAAGTGCCCAGACTAATGAGGATGACAACCAGTGCGAGTTCAATCTCAATATGGTTTGCATTTGCTTCGTTTTTTGGATTGAACATGTTTCCTCAAAACACATAGGACACATCAGAGACACAGACGTTATTAAATAGACGTCAAGATGAAAACTTATATTGTATCATTTTATAAATGTAAAGTTAATGAGAATTTATGCAAACATAATTTACAAATGTATGTTATTTAGGTATAGTATGTTAGTCGGACAATTCATCTATTCAGTCAAAGCCTTTTATGAAAATACAATAAAACAGAAATCTAAATCAAGTACCTTATTATGTATATCTATAGGAAAATGTGTTATTAGAAAGAAATTAGAAAGAAACAACTGCCTGAATTACAATTTCTTAAATTACTATATATAATAGAGGTGCAAAATAAGAATATTGCTATTCCAACCGATATTTCCAACTGATTAGGTGTAAATTTATTTTACCAGGGGGCCCTATGTTCATCTGTTTTACATTATTACAAAATTCTCAGTTTTATAGAGAATTACATCATGTATGCACTTCTCTTTCATATCAGGACACTTTTTTGTGCTCTAAGCTTTCACCTAGTTCACCAGCTCTGACAGGCCACAGGGCAGAAAAAAACAATTATGACATACACAAGGGGCAAAAAATGAAAGGGGCACAAACACGTATCCCTTGTAAGATTAAAATGGGTTTAATATGTGATTTTTCAAGTAGAACTACATCTCTGTGACAGTAACACAAGGAACAGTTGACTTTGATGATTAAAGACACTGATGATCTAGGTATGATTCCTGAAACAGAGAGAAGCAGAACAGATTGCTGACAGAACAGGCAAGAAGCAAACAGCTCAGCACGGCAAAAGCAGGCTGGTAGCAAAAGCAAACGCGCCATAAGTTGGCTGGTGTGAGGTAACATACGCAATACTTCACAGCGATCCGGCAGAGTCTGGATGTTTGGCTGCTTCTTTAGTACTGGCTTTCATGGGTGGATACTGCTCACGTGTGGTGATGAGATCAGAGCGAGGTGTGTGTGAGGGAACTGCGATAGGCACGCTCCCCAACCACATGCCAGGAGTGACAGGGAGAAAAACACAAAGCTGACAGAACAAAAACACACCAGCATTTAAACCACAGACAATGACAAACAAAACAAAGACAACCACTAACATATAGACAACATGGCCGAGGATTCGTGACAAAGTTCTGTGTTTCACACAATACACAAAGCTTATTCTAACAAATTCTGAAGTGTATGTGTCTGTGTAACACATGTATTACACCAAAGCACAATTTAAATAAACAAAAAGAAATAAATATGCACCAATACAGGTCATACACACGGTTTTCACAGTGGGGCCCGCCTGTTCACATGTTACACTGAGACAAAAGGCCTTTCTAAAGACTGTTCTCGTTCCCCAGTGCCTGAAAAATGGACATAACCTCTGCATTCTACAGGCTTCAATAGCTGCTGAGTAAGGGGTTCTCTGAGGGGGGCCACTGATTTGTTATGTTTGGTCTGGTATAAAAGGAAGGGGTTAAACCAGGGAGGAAGGCAGTTCAGGAGCAACAGCACATCTGCATCCAACATGAGCAACACCAGCATGAACATGAGGGGCAAGGTACTTCTATTAAAAACCTTTTTCTAATAACCAGAAATTATTTTTTACAAAATGAGATTCACTTTTTTTCCAGATCATCTTCTACGAGGACAGGAATTTCCAGGGTCGTTCCTATGAGTGCATGAACGACTGTTCTGACATGACTTCCTACCTGAGCAGGTGCCACTCCTGCAGGGTGGAGGGCGGCTGCTTCATGGTCTATGACCGTCCCAACTACATGGGAAACCAGTGGTTCATGAAGAGGGGCGAGTACGCTGACTACATGAGCATGATGGGATGGAGTGGTGGCATCAGGTCTTGCCGTATGATCCCCATGGTAAATAATAATATAATTGTGGTTTGTTGTGGACATGGTGACCTCTAATATCATACAATATTATACTATTCTCTATTATACAAGACCTTTCATGACTCCTCGCTGATGTAAACTCTCAAACTGTTTTTACAGCACAGAGGCCAGTTCAGGATGAAGATCTACGAGAGGGAGAACTTCGGTGGTCAGAGTTACGAGATGATGGACGACTGTGACAACATCATGGACCGTTACCGTATGGCTGACTGCCAGTCCTGCCACGTGATGGACGGCCACTGGCTGATGTACGAGCAGCCCCACTACAGAGGCAGGATGATGTACATGAGGCCCGGAGAGTACAGGAACTTCAGGGACATGGGCATGAGCGGCATGAGGTGGATGAGCATGAGGCGCATCATGGACTCTTGCTAATAAATGTTCACTAAATGATCACTGAACGTATCAAATGCTACTGAATAAAGCAATTGCTGAACTACTTTGACTTTTGTCAAGCTTATTGCCCAACTTATAATATTATATTCCATAAAATATGTAATGGCTCATGAAATTCAATAAATTAGATTTTCTTTAGACAGAAAGCAGATTTTAGAAAGCAAATGTTCATCTCAAACTCTTCTAAAATGTGAAATGTGGCTCTACATTTTAGTCCTAAACTGCAATCTGCCCCAAAGCTGCTAAATCCCCCCACATCCCTAGAAAAAAGACTAAGGACATGAATGTCACTCGCTTCAATGAAATCACTTTCACACATCAATTCATCAATTTGCATTGTTAAGTGCCTGTTGCTGATTTCTAACTCAGGTGACCAGTTAGTTTTTTTGTGTGGATGTTTGCATGACATCACAGAGTCAGGAGGCCAGACTAGAGGGAAGAGGAGCAACATCAATTTATATAAAAGAAACTGGCATAAAAATACTAATTAGACCTCTACAATTTGCTATTTTTTCACTCTTGTGATATATTTGATGAAGATACTAACACATTAACCAAAAGGTTATTCACATTCACATATATGATTTTCTTGTCCACAGTGAAACTAGATCACCAGCTGGCTTTACAGTAATATTTTGCATGTGGCAAAGCTAATGAGAAAAACTGTAATAACTTTATCAGTTCTGACAGATCATGAGAAATAAAGACTTCCTTTTCTTTTGGCCTCAATATTTCACTTCCCACAGCCAAGCTACAAGCTGCTTTAGCTTATACAGTCTTCTAAGATAAAAGATTAGCAGAATTGTAGTTCCACCAAAACATCCTATATCAATGCAGAGTAGATGCATAAGACCACAATTAGTACAAGACAAGATTCTGTCTAGAATGTATAACATATTTTAGGAACCTGTAAAGTAAATTATGAAAATAATTTTATTCCTTTATACGTTTTACTTATTAACATTAAACTTATCTAGCTTTTGATCTCCTGTTTCAAGTGAGATGACAGGCGAGTATTGCACAAACAATTTTTAGCCTTTTGAGGTGTGACTTCCTAATAAACTAAAGTTCAAAACAACTGAACCCAGAGTAACTTGTGCTGCAGAGCCGACCCTCCACAAAGCACTGGGCATTCTTATGAGCGATGGAGGAAATCTATGTAAATGCTGAATATGACAGATCTGTTGACTCAAAACCAGACAGGTATCAGACTGGTAAGAATAATGAGTCAGACAAAGAGGCTGGCAGACTGAGCTCTGCGGGAATGTATATTATTATCTGTCAGTATTATTGTATCCTTGACTATAGTGTGTTCTCTGTTTTCAGATTCCCGGAGCTCAGTGAGGAGATTTCATAGTGCTGTTCTCTGTCTGGGGCTGCTGAGTGTTTTCCTGCTGGCTGGAGTCATCTGCTTTGGTGTCCTCTGTGAGTTTGGTTCACATTCAGAAGTTTGTTTTTTTAAATTATGTGTTTAGTTAGGCATTCTTTCCTATTCTATTTTTGGCTGCCCTTCTTGCTTTCACAATATTCCTGTTGAATTATTTGATATCAAGCATGGAAGTTTTATATTTTGTGTTGGTGCCATATTTTAAACTGTATTTAAAAACTGGTGCATGTTGTCTTTATCATGTCTTTTCTATTTTGGATATCTAAATAGATTTGTTTCAGTGATGATCCACAAAACTACAGTAATAACAGAAAAAACATTATTCCACATATTTATACACGTTTATCCTGCATGCACAAAATCCTGTGCTATCTGAACAGTAGCCTTCCCCCATCAAGCACTGGAGACTGTGATGTCGTAAGTCAGTTTATTTGAAGAGAAAGGGTGAAATTAAGAAATGAAACACAATTACCAAAGTTACTTAATTATTGATGAGTCACAAACACCATACAATGATTACTGTGTGTAAATATACCAAATTATTTTGGTTAGATTTATAATATTTCTTTAATGGTTCAGCAATTTTATGAAAAAGAGGCATTATATTACAGGATCGATATTGATTGTTAAAGACTTCATATTTTGAACCTCGTTATCTTATATGGAAAATATTGTATTCACAAATACAAATGGTCCTACCACAAATACATTTCACATTAGAAATCAACAACATTATATTGAAGCATTATCTGGTCTGAAGAGAAGTAAAGCAATTAAAACAGTTCAAATGTGTAAATATTTAAACATTTTTCTTTAATGCCTTTGTTTCTTGTTATGTGATACATCTAGTTTTGTCCAGATCTATTATTATGTTGTTTTATGTAGTTTTGTTTTGGCTCTCATCCACCTTGTAGGGCAAGAGCCAGCAAGATTTACAGGAGACCTATTATATTGTATGTATACTGTATTATCCCTGTATGGCAGATTCAAAGTTTAAAAAAATAAATTTTCTATCTTATACTACCTTCATATAGGGCATCATTTTACCCTCTGTCTGTAGCTGTCCATGCTACTGTCACTTTAAGCCCCCCCCCCCCCCTATGTGAGCGGTACAGACAGACCGAGCGTAGCTTTGCGGAGCAAATGACCATATATGGAATACCGGCTCATGTAGCTCCATGCGTGGTCAAACAGAGCCGTCGGTAGAAAAAGCAGCAGAGTGATCAGAATAGGAGGAAATCTGAGGTTATTACTCACAGGGATTTCTAAATACTTTTACCTCATTATTTGAAGCTTTGGCCATGTTAAACATGAACATCCGACATTGTAACATTGTAGATAATTCATACAATATGGAAAAGCATAATAGGTCTCCTTTAAAAATCATGCAAAAACATGAAATAAAAAGTGTGCAACTTCTTTCAGCGTTGTCAAGGTAATAATAATGTGTGATAATGTGGGAAAGTGCTGCCCCATTCCTGTTTACAGCATATTGAACCCTTGCAGCCTTTTGCACTCAATCAATTACTAAGTCATGTCAGCTAAGTCTGTGAGGGTTCAGGGCTTAGGGTTTAGGGGGGACATTGGGATTGGGCCAATGTGGCGGACCCTCCCCATGAACGTACAAACGGAGTGGAAGTAGGTAGGGGGAGGGAGTAGTAAGTACTTTCGGAAAGGTCATGAGTCGCATGGTACAAAGGTCATCTGTTTATTAAAGTACAGTGTACAGTGTCAAATACAAAAGCCACAACACAAATACAAATGCCACAACACGATTACAAAAGCCACAACACGATTACAAAAGCCACAACACGAACACAAACGCCGCAACACGATTACAAAAGCCACAACACGAACACAAAAGCCACAACACGAACACAAACGCCGCAACACGATTACAAAAGCCACAACACGAACACAAAAGCCACAACACGAACACAAAAGCCACAACACATATACAAAAGCCACAACACAAATACAAAAGCCACAACACAAACACAAAAGCCACAACACGATTACAAAAGCCACAACACAAATACAAAAGCCACAACACGAACACAAAAGCCACAACACATATACAAAAGCCACAACACATATACAAAAGCCACAACACGACTGCAAAAGCCACAACACGATTACAAAAGCCACAACACGAACACAAAAGCCACAACACATATACAAACACCACAACACGACTACAAAAGCCACAACACGATTACAAACGCCACAATACGAACACAAAAGCCACAACACAAATACAAACGCCACAACACGACTGCAAAAGCCACAACTCAAATACAAACGCAACAACACAAATACAAACGCCACAACACGAACACAAAAGCCACAACGGAAGTTGACAACGAAAGAGATGTTTAGTAACAGTTCTAACAGTAATTGTTCTCTGAAGAACACAACTATACACTGCATTCAAGAAGTCTGGGTTTGAATCATGGAAAGAACCTACTTCTTACAGTTTTTTTGGATTGCTTAAGCACGATTTTCAAAACAGGGCCCATGGTTTCTAAACACTACACACAATTAGCACAACCACACACCCAAATAGCAAAACACCACAGACCCTTTGCATAATTAAACACTCTTGTAAAAACTATACACTTCTGTTTAAAAACCACACTTTGTTACCATATGAAACACACACGTTTCACATTACTATACTCTGTTTGCACGAGTTACACTCTGCTGTGATGAACCTAAAACACTTTTAGCACTTCTACTTCCCTAGGATTAGAGTAGGCTACCATCAACAAAGTACAAATATAATGTAAATTAAAAACACTACACAAGACCAATGTTGCAGACTGAAGAAACTCATTTATTTCTCAACACTCCCAAAATGTTGACATGGAGATTCATAATACTGTAACAAAACGTCACTTTACATATTGTACTGTATGTTTACTGTAAAACAAAAACAACAACTAGACATTGTCTCTTCGCCTAGCTGGATCTGGCCAGAGAATTTCATCATCGCAGGCAATATTGTCATTAGCAAGACACCTTGGAAAGAAACGTCTTGAATGACGAATCCATCCTTGCATTGCTGCTACCTCCATCTGGTCACAGGCCTCCTCCATGGCTTGGATGACGTGTACCTCAGCCTGAAGAGACGGAAATCATATACCTTCCACCTCCATGCCGGGAAAAACTCTTCTATAGGGTTGAGGAATGGAGAGTATGGTGGAAGATATAGGACGGTGAAATGTGGATGTTGCTGAAACCAGTTCTGAACCAGAGCAGAGCGGTGGAAAGACACATTGTCCCAGACAACAATGTATTGCATATGATCGATTTGATTTGCTGCTGTTATGTTGTGCAATTGGTCCAAGAATGTAAGTATGAGTGCTGTGTTGTAAGGGCCCATACGGGCATGGCGGTGGAGGACCCCATTCTGTGTAATGGCTGCACAGAGTGTTACATTACCGCCACGTTGCCCTGGGACATTGACTATAGCCCTGTGGCCAATGATGTTTCTTCCCCTCCTTCGTGTTCTCGTCAGGTTGAACCCAGCCTCATCTACGTAAATGAACTCATTCTGGATCTCCTCTCCATCCATTCGTAAAACTCTCTG